ATCTCTCATAATAAATATGTAGAAAGATTTACTAATTCCGTTTATTTTATACTCCTTAAATTAAAATAGAATTCCTACATATAAAACAAATAAAAAAATGTAACAGTCGGAATAAATGACAATACAAACTTGTATTGAACGCCTTCTTACTGTTTACTTTTACGTACATTTATTTGTTCAAATGCAAAGGTATTTTATTGCATGATTGGTTATTTAATTGTATTTTGTTTGTTTGACCACGGAGATCACTAAAAATGACGACCATTTCAAAGTGCCTATTGTTGTAAAGAACATATCAAACATATACACAAAGAATATTCTATTGAATCTGTCACAGAATATCCTAAATTTTATCACATGATAAAATCAAATTTAATCAAAATTGCTGACAAAAAAAAAAATTTAATATATCAAAATATATAATCAATTTTTATAGTATAATGATAAAAATGTTACAAATTAAAAAGAATTAAGGTAAATAATTATATGGATATGTTAATGAAAAAGATTACAAAGATTTATAATTTAATTTGGGATCATTTGATGGTTGTCGATAAGGTGGCGGAGACAACTGAGTTGGATAAATAGTTTGATCATTCGTTATTTCACTTATTGATGAATTAGTCGTATCATATGAAGTGTATGACGAGACTGAAGTTCCAGATGACATGGGCTTCGATAACAAATGATCTGATCGATAGCTGTCAAGTCTCTTGATGTCATATGGGAAATTTAATGGTGGTATAGCATTATAACCATCTAAAGGTTTATCACAGAAATTCCTGGGATGTTCCATTGATATCTGCAAAGGATTATTGTCGAAACCACGATTCACTTGATCGAAATTTTGTTGTGAATGCCTGGAATATTGTGATTGCGTATGATATATTGGGGATGGAGTTGATATATGTTCGGGTGGAAGTGGTGGTGTGACTTGAGGTGAGATTGGTATTTGCGATGTAGAATTGATGGGTGGTTGTTTTTCAATTATGTGAGCAATTCTAACGCTTTCTTCAACATCATAACTCTCATTAAATCCATACAAATAAAATTTTATGTTGAGGAAATGAACTATTGATATGAATCTACCTTGATATGTTGGTTGAACATTTTTTGGTACAAATAGATTGATGGTGTACGTACATCCACCATGAAAATATTGTAATTCGGAACGTGGAACCACCATTCCCATGATTTGCTGATCCACGTGTTTTGAATCTCCTTGTGACGAGGAATTAAAGTTCATTGAAGTTCTTAGAATAACCTCGAGTCTTTCAATACCGACATTGGGTTGCAAGAAGTTCATTCTCATTGGAATTGATACGTAAGTGCCTAAATTCAAACTTTTATTTGGCGGTAAGATGAATGTGTAATCAATACCACTGGGAACCTCTCCCGATATTTTGTATGGTGGAGATTGTTGATTATCCAATACGATGGTTCTCTTTAGGGGACACTTTACTTTTATTGCTTGTTGTCCCGTTCCAAGCAAGGATTTTGCGTTAATGGTAGCGCGAAGTTGATAATGAATCGTTCCAACTTCGGTTGTGATTGTCTCTGGAAGGTTATAGGGAATTTGAATTTTGAAAGGAATATCAAGTATTGTGACTTCTTCGGTATCGTTGAAAGCTTCCCATATTTTATTCGATTGATCGACCAAGGGGTATTCTCCCGTATAAATGGTTTTTGACCTTGCTTGTGATCTTTGCCATGTTGTTTTTTCGGTCCCTTTGAAATGCAAATAAATACTTTTAATCTGACTTGGTTTTGGATAAAATAAATGTAATGTTCCTAC